AAATATTATAATACAAGATATAATTTAAACTATTATATATTTAAAAATATTATATTGATAATATAATATAAGATTTAAGTTATATCTTATATTACCTTATATTATCTTATATATTTATCTTATATTATCTTATTTTATCTTATATATTTATATATTATATTATATATCATAATTATCTTATTATTCTTAGCAATAATATATTGTTATATTATATTATAATAAAGTATAACAATATAATAATAAAAATAATAAGATAATCATGATATTTTTATTATGAAATTTTTAGTAAGATATTGCTATCTTGAAGATTATTTAGTTTCATATTTTGATGCTAAACTTTATTTTATCCTTTTATAGGTATTATATCAAAAGAAGTATATAAACATATCTTTATCACATTACTGGATAGATAATGAGTCTTCATGAGGAATCTTTGAAATATTTATGTAGAAAGTGTGGATTGAAAATAAAAAAGGATAATCACTATCAATTAAAAGAATATTTATGCAAATCATGTTATATGGTCTTATATAGGTTAGATTTAAAAACAAAAAATAGCTTTGAAGTCGAAAGAAGTGATAAGTTCTTTGCTTTTACTGAACACACAGAAACCTGTTATGTATGTAATACAGCCACAAAAATTGGAAGAAATAAAAAAGTACCTGCAATAAATACGTATCAACAGTTAAAAGCAGTTGCATTGAAACATGGTTTTGACTGTTACTATGAAAACAACAAAAATTACTTTGTAATAGTTGAAATCAAGAGTTGTCGCCAAGTTGTTAGCAAAACACTGTCATTAGAGTCAAATTGCATGTGGAGACTAATTGTTTTAAATCGTGAAGTGCCATTATCCAATACTGTTATTAAATCACTTCCAGATTATCTAAATCTGCAATCTGCTGATATTATATTCTCAACCATTTCATGTATAAACATATGTCAAGGTAATAATGACTTCCACTATTTAATGAGAAATAAATTTTCTGATTTTAAAATTTCCAAAGCACGTCAAATGAAGATGTTGGAATAATTGAGATGGAAGATGGCAATACAGTTGACAACTTTAAAGTTATTAGACATAAAGATTGTTCATTAATATGTTCCAAAGTCTGTTGTGATTCCTGTACCATGTACCATACTAACTTGCGCGTAATGGAGTCCAGGAGAAAGAGTAATGAAAATCAATCATCTATCACATCCAACAGTAAAAAGAATGACCGCTACTTTTCTAAATCAGAATTATTAACAAAAATTAAACTTTTAGAGAAAGAATGAAAAGAAAATCTTGCAAAACAACAACGAATGCAATAAAAACTTGAAAAATCTATAATAGAAGAAAGGGTTGTTCTTAAAGAAGAGGAACACACAATTATTGAGGAAACATATGAAAAATATGGGGAAGAAAATCCTTTTACTGAGGAATCCCCTCAAGCACTGTTGTGGCAACAGCAAAAAATCCAGGCTGGACTTAAAGACAGAAGGTCTATGAAGTAGCATTCTTTAATTATAAGATGGTGCATCAGTTTATATTTGAAATCTCCTGGTGCCTATTGTCATATTTGTTCGACTTCATTTTTAAATCTTCCTTGCAAAAATACTCTTCAGAAATATATCAACTTTACTGACCCAGGCTGTGGTTTTAACAAGGATTCCATGTATAACTTGACCAGAAATATTGATTTACCTAATATAAAAGAGCACCAGAGGTATGTTTCAATCATTTTTGATGAAATGAAAATAAAAAGTGGGCTTGCTTTTAGCTCATCAACTGGAAAGTTGGTGGGTTTTTCAGAAAGTGGATCTATTAATGAGATGCTCTTGAATTTTGAAAATAAATATACAGACAATAAAAAAAAACAGCAATGTAGAAGATCCAAAAACCATACCTTTGGCATCATATGTAACTGTTTTAATGGTGAAGGGCATTACATCTTCTCTAAAATATGTGCTAGGCCATTTTGCTTCTGCTGGAGGTCTTTCTTGCAGCCGATTGTATTTTACTGTATGGGATGGAATAAGGCAATTAGAATCAGTTGGTTTAAAAGTGATGGCAATTGTAGCGGATGGTGCATCTCCGAACCGAAAGTTTATGTGTCTCCATGCTTGGAAATCACAAGAAAATACTAAAGATGGTGTCATTTACTGGACTTGGAATGAGTGTTATCCTGGTATGTATAAATAATTATAGTTATAAAAAAATTGTAAAAATATAAATAAAAATAACAAAACGATATATAGTATGTTAAATATAAGTATTGTTTGTTGATGTTAAATATAGTTATTTATGGCATTTATGATCTACATGTTAGTTTTCAATAAGAATTAGTAATGAGTGGCTCAACATTAAATTGTTTATAAAAATTGTCTTTTAAAGTATTATTGAAACAATTTTTTAGTCCGGAAGATATTTTTTATTTGTGATGTACCTCACTTGATGAAAACCACGAGAAACAACCTTGAAAAATCACATGAAAACTCTCTAAGTAGAAATCTTATGGTATGTATATATTTTTTCTCTAAAATTATTAAATGCATATTTATAAACAACATATTCAATTTTGGCTATTTAATTTCTATTAAATAAGGATGTAATTTCTCTGATTTCAATAACAAGGAATGATATTTAAATTGCTTTAGCATTTTCATTATTTAATTTTGTTCCACATATTTTATTATTTTGTTTCATATATTTTATAAGCACTCATTTCCGATGATTAAAAAATTCAATTGAAATATTATATGCTTATGCTATATTACTAATAATTATATATTATTGCATATCAAGAAAAAGTAGGGTTGTAATGTTTTCTAGGTTTAATAGACAACATTACAACCAATAAATGGGGTGCAAAGCCCTATGGCTTACCTTCCAGTTGGTGCACTTCATTAAGTAAGTTAGACATGTTGTATTTATAACTTATGAACAGAATAGCCAAGGCAAATTTAGAAATAATTTTAGCACACAATATATAATAGGTGTAAACTAGTTGAACCGAAACAGCTCGTCAACTGTTTCGTTTATCATTTAAGGACTAAAAGAATAGTTTAGTCTTGCCAGTCATGACCTCAAAATATCTTTTTTTAAGAACTTTTAAGACAGATAAAAATGAATTTGTAAAACTTTGATGCTTAAGTAAAACTCTAAGCTTGTCAAATAGTTCTGATTATGACACTATTCAAACTTTTTTAGCTACACCTAAAAAAATCATATATTTTACCCTTTATTTAGTTATAATTTTAGGCCTGTTTTACAGGCAAATGTAATATTTTTTTGTGTATTTCAGATTGATGGTCAGACGCTTGTTTGGAATCAAATAATCAGCTTGTATGATTGGGATATTGGAATAGATAGAGATGCAGTGGGGTTGACAATGGGACACAAGTTAAGTGAAGAACATATCAACCTCAATTCATGAACACATATGCGAGTAAACCTAGCGGTACAGGTTAGAGTTAAATAAATTGTACTTCTGCAGATCTGGATTTAATACATGCCAGTGGAGAATATTTATTGAATATATTAATGATATACATGTATCTCTTAACCTATTGCAGGAAAATAAATGTATTTTTTATCTGTATTGTTTTTTTATAAAAAGGTACTCAGTTCAACAGTAGCAGACATGTAACTCAGACAGACTAACTCAGCTGCATAATTTCCTGGAGTTTTAAACCCTTCAATTATAATACTAAAAGTTTCATCTAGTAAAGCTGCTTTTAAACTTTCTTCAAAGAATTTAACAGAATTATCATACAATTCTTTTTTGAGCTCCAATGATAGAAGTTCTATAAAATAAAAAATAATAAGATTCTTTAGATAAAAATTTATATTAGGGCCCTGCGAATTGGCATTTTTTGTTTCGATTCGAATCTTGAATCAAAGCAGGTCTTCATTCGCGTTTCGAATTTATTTATTTATTTATTTCGTCATTAAATGAATAATCTTTTACAATGTTTTTTTACAACATAAAAATTATAACATTAAAGTTTCGACCGGAGCTGGCAGAAGACATGATCTTATCATCCAGCCCCGTTACACGGTCGTTTAGACTTTAGAAATAAGTGGAAAGTTATTATACGCAAGCGCAGTAGAGTTAAAAATAATTTAGAATTTTAAAAATGGCTACGGATGTAACGTTTTTAAAAACTTATCATTGACAACGAGTAACTTGTTTAATTTTAGATAATTTAATAGGCTTTTAACTATTTTTAAAATAAAATTATTGTGAAAATAACTTGCAGCTTTACTAAGAAATGTTTTAAATAAAATACAAGTCCTCTGAATGTGAATAAAATCTACTTTCAGCTAAAGCTACTTTTACTGTTTTTGTTTATAATCTTTAAACCTTTTTTAAAAAAATTTTGAGCGTAGAAATTTTTAAATTTTTATTTATTCAGCAAGATGAACCTTTTATCTTTTTTGCATTTTTTGTTTTTATGAGGATTCAATTTTTTTTGCAGGGTTAAAATAAAATCTTAATCGTTAACTTTTTGTAACCTGTTGCTACGATACTCCTTTCTGATGTATATATATATATACATATATATATATATATATATATATATATATATATATATATATATATATATATATATATATATATATATATATATATATATATATATATATATATATATATATATATATATATATTTATATATATATATATATAAAATATATATATATATATATATATATATATATATATATATATTTATTTATATTTATTTATATATAAATAAAAACACAAACAAGTTTTGAACTTAAAGCATAACTTTGATAAATTATTTAATTTTTAGATATAAAGCTATATAAAGTGTGTAATATTCGTAATGCAATAGAGACAAACAGAAAAAAAAGCAACATTAGTATAATTTAAAAAATGTAAATTTATTTTATGCATCAAATAAATATCAATCAACACAAAATAAAAGATCAAAATATAATTCAAATGAAAATATAAATATCTTTTATGCATTAAAAACATTTTTCATTCTTTCAATCTTTAAGTAAAAAATATTTTAAATATACTCATATTGATTTTAACAATCTCAAGCTGAAAACATTAAAAAAAAAAATTTAAACACGAAACACAAAAAATATTTATATCGAGTTCCAAGAAAAAGTCTTTCTGCTTTAGTTTACTTTTCCCTTCTTTACAACAGGCAAGTTTCTTTGTTGAAACGCGAATATGGTTGGAATACTAAAAAAATATATACTATAATATTTGTTTGTTTTAAATCAATTTTTATCATAATTTATTAATTTTGAATCAATATGTACAAAACCAGACTGATGATTCAATCGATAGAATCAAAATGATAGCATTCAATCGATAAAATCAAAAACATAACTAATGGTATTGCTTTGATGCAGGCAATACAGTTGATTTATTTGAGGTTATTGACTAAATCAAAAGCCTGGAATAATAATATTCAAAATTTTGATCATAGATAAGTGTGCATAAATATATAATGTATGTATGCGTATATATATATATATATATATATATATATATATATATATATATATATATATATATATATATATATATATATTAGGGTCTTGTGAATTGCTTCGATTCGTGAATCAAGTGTCGCTTCGATTCGAGTCGAAAAAAAAAAAATTCAAGTTTTTTCAAATCATATTTTTGCGAATTATTTTGCTGGTTTTTTTAGATTTCTAAAGCTAAAATGTAATTGAAATGGGTTTTTCAAACCGGGGGAAGAAAAAGTAATTGAAAATAGTTCTAACATCACTTTAAAACAAACGCCAAAAATATAATCAGAGCAAAAAGAATTTGTTCAAAAAAATATTTTTATCTTTTTGGAAAAAAAAACAAACTTAAACTTGGTTTTCACGAATAGCTGATTCGATTCATGATTCGATTCGCGGATCAAGAACTGCTTTGAGATTCAATTTGAAACAAAAAATGTCAATTTGCAAGGCCCTAATGTATATATATATATATATATATATATATATATATATATATATATATATATATATATATATATATATATATATATATATATATATATATATATGTTACCAACATATAACAATATTATGTTACTAACATATAAAAATATTATGTTACTAACATATAACAATACTATGCTCTCTTCTTTAAGAATATTGAGCACTCTTTGACAGTCTGTTCAACTCCTTCAGAAGGTTTATCAAAAAAATAGATAAGTGTTTATACTATATATATATATATATATATATATATATATATATATATATATATATATATATATATATATATATATATATATATATATATATATATATATATATATATATATATTTAAACAATTTAAAAAATGTATTCTACAAAATAGAGTGCTCAATGTTCTTAAAAGAACAGTGCAAATTTCTGATGATTCTTGATGAAACACAGTGTAAAATGAAATAAAATTTTGTTAAGAGATTTTTTACTAATTTATTATATATATATATATATATATATATATATATATATATATATATATATATATATATATATATATATATATATATATATATATATATATATATATATATATATATATATAGCCACATCGGAAAAGAGCACCATAGCAACAGGTTACACAAGTTTAATGATTAAGATTTTCTTTTAACCCTGCAAAAAAAATTGAATCCTCATATAAGCAAAAAATACAAAATAGATAAAAGGTTCATCTTGCTGAATAAATTTAAATTAAAAAATTTCTACGCTCAAAAATATTTTAAAAAAGGTTTAAAAATTGTAAACAAAAAAACTAAAGTTGCTTTAGTTGAAAGTAGATATTATTCACATTCAGAGATCTTGTATTTTATTTTTAAAATTTCTTCGTACAGCTGCAAGCTATTTTTAAAATAATTTCATGAAAAAACTAGTTAAAAGCCTATTTAATTATCTAAAATTAAACAAATTACTCGTTGTCAATGATTAGTTTCTAAAATCCTGTTACCGTAGCCATTTTAAAAAACCTTCAAAAAATGTAATTTCACTGCGCATGCGTATAATAACTTTCCTCTTACAAACGACCGTGGTTAATATAACTAAAAAATTCAGCCGATAAAAATGAAAAAGGAAAAAAGAAACTAAAGCAAGAACTGATTTTAAGAAGAAAAGAACTTAAAAATCAAATTATTATTTACAGAAAGAAAAAAAAAAAAAAATATATTAATTATTTCTTCTCATTATTATTATTTTTTTTAATTCTCTATTTTATTCTACTTTTATTTTTATTATACACGCACGCACACACACATACGCACACGTACACACAAATATATGTCCGTTCATATATACATACGAATCAAATAAATCTGTATTACATTCCATCTACAAATTGCGTAAGATATAATAAATATTGCATTTACAAATTACATTATTATTGTAAAATAAAATAATATCATACATGTTCTAAGTACCATACAATATAACTGTGATGTTGAGTCAATTTATAAGACATTAAATAACTAAGATTACCAAAAGTTGTTAATAATACGATAGTAATTGCTTTGTGTCAAAACCAAATAAGTGTTGTTTTGTTGCACGTTTAAACAAAAATGTTGAGTTGAATTTAAAGTTTTTATATTACTTGTTAAAAGCAAGTTCCATAACCGCGGCACTCGGCAAGATATCGAAAAATCAGCTTGTTTTGATAATGTTTTTGGTATAATAAAATTATTTGTTGAGTATTTAGTTTCGTATTTGTGGTTTAAAGAAAAAAAATAAGTTTGGAAAATGCTTGGTAGCATACCATTTTTAAACTTAAACATAAAAATGAGTATATTAAGAATATTTATTTCATAGACATTAGACACTCTAATTTCTCTTAGTAGTGGTCTGGCACTAGCGTATTTATTTGCATTTAATATCAAGCGAATTGCTCGTTTTTGTATTTTGTAGATCATATTTAACTTTGAAGGATAAGTACTTGCCCAGATAATGTTGCAGTAGCTGATGTAGCTATAAATAAATGCAAAATAAGCAATTTGTGTTTAGGAGATGTATTGTTTTATACATAATACCAATAATTTTTGATATCTTATTTTCTATTACTTTGATATGATTACTCCAGCTAAGATGTTCATTAAGAATTACGCCTAAAATTTTTTTTTGAGTATTCTCGTCTAAGTTTAGTTTTATCAATTAGTAAATCAGGTAGTTTTAAGGGGAGGGTTTCAGATTTTGATAATTTTGTAAAAAGAATATATTTACTTTTTTCGACATTTAAGGAGAGTTTGTTAGCTTTAAACCATTCGTTTAGGTTTTCAAGTTCTTGATTAACAGTGTTAAATAATAGGCTAATGTTTGTGTGGCTAAAGAACACTTGCGTATCATCGGCAAAAGGGACAAAGTTAAGTATGTTAGAAGATAAGTAGATATCGTTAATATAAACGAGGAATAATAATGGACCAAGAATTGATCCTTGTGGAACCCCACAAGTAATGTCTTCAAGTCGTGTTACAGTGTTGTTATATGATAAAGCTTGTTTCCGATTATTAAGGTAAGAGCGAAACCATTTTAAATTGTTATTTCTTATTCCATAATTATATAGTTTATAAAGAAGAATTTTGTGGTCAACAGTGTCAAACGCTTTTGAGAGATCGAGGAATACCCCAAGAGTGTATTTATTGTTGTCAAACCCATTTAAAATTTCATTGACAAGTTTGGCTTCAGCGTGTTTTGTTGAATGGTGTTTTTGAAAGCTATATTGGTTATTATTTAGTAAGTAGTGGTTTACTAGATAATTTTTTAGCCTATTGTGCATTATGCGCTCTAATATTTTTTAAATGCATGGCAAAATAGAAATAGGCCTGTAGTTAGAAGCAATCGAATCGTCTCCGCTTTTAAATATCGGAACAACTTTTGCTTGCTTTAGCTGGTCAGGGAACACCCCATTTTTTAAAGACAGATTACAGATATGCAGAAGGGGATATTCAATAATATCGTAGACATTTTTTACAACGTTCACGCTAATGTCATCTAGTCCTGGACTTTTGTTTACTTGTAAGGTATTAAATGCATTTTTAAGCTCATCCGGAGTTATTTCAAGCTCATTCATGACTGAGGCTTTTTTTTTAGATACAGCTTATATCATTTTTTTCCACGAGTTATTTTATTAGCTAGTTTTTCCCCAATTTTTATAAAATAGTTATTAAATTTCTCTGCAATATCTATTGCCTTATTGGCTACTGTACCATTTTCATCTGTTTTTAAGTATTGCGGGAACACTTTGGTAGCATCTTTTTTTTTTCCTGTTACCTCTTTTATTACGCCCAATGTTTTTTTAGTGTTACCGCAATAATTTTCTAATAAATTGCAGTAATAGTTTTTTTTTTGAATGTTTTTTTAATTTTTCAAATAAATTTTTGTATTGTTTATATATTTTTTCGTTTTTAAAAGTCTTTTTTTTCAAAAATTTTTCATAAAGTTTTTTTTTTTTTTTTGAAGATTTAATAAGCCCTTTTGTCATCCAAGGACTTTTAAGGTTTTTGAGTTTTGTTAATTGCTCAAGCTTGGGAAACGCTTTTTCGTACAAAGTTGTAAAAGTGTGTTTAAAAATATCGTAAGTTATGTTAGTGTCTTTGCAATTAACAACCTGATCCCAGTTTTCCATTGATAAGTTGCTTCGGAACTTTGTTATACTTTTTTCATTTATTTGCCTTTTTGTTGTAATTATTGTTTTGTTTTCTTTTTTATTGTTGAAATTGTTAAGCAGCAGAAATATCGGAAAATGGTCACTTATGTCAGATTTTATTATTCCGTTTTGAATATTACATTTTATGGTAGTATTTGTAAATATGTTATCGATTAGGGTAGCTGTTCGGAGAGTTACTCGAGTTGGCTTATTTATTAAGGGTTCTACGCCGTGCTGTACCCAGTGGGCATTTCGACGTCGAACGAACGTTGAGCGACGTCGGATCTCGACGTCGGATCGACGTTGGGTTTAGGTTGGAAATGGAAATGTTATTTGACGTCGGATAAACTGACATCGCGCGACGTCGGCATTCCGATGTAAATCCAACGTGTTTTTTGAAAACTAAAAAACGTTGCCTTAGACAGTGATCGAACTTCGGTCTATTAGAAACTAAGTCCTACGCGCTTACCACTACACCACAGCGACATAATAATTAGAGTGCTTATTTAGTAATTTATACTTGTAGCTATTTGGGAATTATTACTTTGATAAGAAATAATTTTGTTTAAATATTATATAAATATTACAACGAATAGTTATATATTATAAAAAATGTATACTTGAAAATGTTAATAGTTAAAAAACTATGCTAGTGCATCATACAAAACCTCATGATGTTTTATCAACCATTATTTAAACTTCTTTCCATTAATAAAAAACACGCTTAGTTCACATATTTATTGAAGAGCGCAATTGCACACATATTGTTGGGTTTGGATTAAATTTTCATCAGCGATGTCTTACGACGTTGTTCCGACGTCGTTTTAAGGACGTTGGATTGACGTCGGAAGACGTTAAAAGACATCGGAGTACGTTAATATTATGACGTTGCCCGACGTCTTTTTATCGACGTTGGATCGATGTCAGTACTGGGACGTTTTTTGGACGTCTTTTATAAGATGTCGGAACAACGTCAAAATACATCGAAACGACGTCAGGGGATGTTGCGATAAAGACATCGCCCGACGTCATTTTACTGACATCGGAACAACGTCGGAATAGGTCTTTTGACATCGCTGAAGAAAATCATACGTAAATCCGACGTCGGATTGACGTCGGGTGCCCACTGGGTAAGAGATTATTTAAAAAGCGTTTGGCATTGTTATTATTTTTTATTTTTAAAAGATCCAAGTTAGTATCTCCCATTATGTATAAGTGCTTATTTTTAGCCAGTTCTAGGTACTGAATTATATGTTTTTTAAAGGATTTTATATTGCCATCTGGTGGTCTATATAAGCCAGTAATATACGCATTTGCTTTACTTTGGTTTGTTAATTCAACCGTAAAAAGTTTACAGTTTGCGTTCAGTATGCTTAGGCTTTCTACTTTTTTAAACTGTATTGTATTATGTATGTAGAAACATATTCCTCCGCCAGTACCTCTACTACGAGTTTGATGGAGAGCTTTATAGCCTTTTAATTGAAAATTTGAGTTTATGGTATTTTCGTCTTTGCACCATGTTTCTAAAAGGCATATTACCGTAAATTCGTGACTTATGTCTTTTAGCATTTCCTTAAAGTTTTCAAAGTTTTTGCTCATGCTGCGTATATTTAATGTCAGCGCTGAAAAAGTATTTTGTGACGCATTTATAAAACAAGATAATTCTTCGATACTATAGTAATTAGACTTAAATGAGTCGTTTTCAAAAAAAATTTTGTCAGGGTCGTTGTTATTGTTCAGAAGAAGAGTGTTTTCTTTATCAAAAATTTCAAAATATTTTGTTTCCGTCATTGTCATAATTAAAAATTTAACTGCTTAAAAAATTAAATATAAGATATATAAATATATTCATACACGTGTAAAATATAAATATAAGAAAAAAGAGTTATTTTTGTTTGATATTATTCAATTTAATAATTTTATCGTACCTTAAACCAACATTTTCACCATTATTGCGTCGTTCTTTTATTTCAGCCAGGAGTCTTTTCCTAATATTGACAGTCTCATGGGAAAAATCTTCGTTTAAGTAAATGTTTGTACCTTTTAGTCTATATGACTCTTTTAGAATTTTTGTTTTATCATTGTATCTTAACAACTTCATTATAACTGTTCTGGAGCTTCCTTCTTTTCTGGCTCCGGTTCGATGAGCTCGTTCGACTTCTATTCCATTTAGTCCCAACTTATTGACTAAAAATAGTTTAACTTTATCCTCAGTTTCATTCCATGTTTCTTTCACACTTTCTGGTAACCCGTCTATTCTTAAATTATTTCTTCTCGATCTATCTTCAAACTTTCTTAGCTTTTCATTTATATTTTGCGTTGTAATGTTTTCCTTTTCCACTCGATCGTTGTTTTGTTTGTGGATAGTTGCAATTTTTTTGTCAAAAACTTCA